GCTGTGGCACAAACCCAGCCAGGCCAGCGAGCTCTCACTGAGAGCCCGCTCAAAACGGCAATCTGTGGAGCAGCAAAACCCAAGTTCTGCCTCTGGGGAGACCCATGGGGGGTGTTGAAGTCTCCCCAAAGTCTTTTGCATTAATAGTGACTAGAAAAGGGGTGCTGGAGAAAGTGGGGCAACAAACTCTGGTTTTGTTTCCCTGATTTTATTGCAAGAGGAGACCCTCCAAACGCCAGGGTGGGAGCGGGGGGAGCGTGAAGGACCAAAGGAGGAGGTTACAGCAGGGGCGTGTGGGTTATCGCTGCTGCGAGCGCATTCCTGAGGGCCGGGCGGGCCCCTCGCACCAACTCCGCCGCGCTGTTTGCACAGCGCCCGCCGCTCGCCCCAAGAACATTTCTTAAATTGTTTCTAGCACTCTCAAGAGCGTGATTGTGCCTTGAACAGTTATTTCAGCGATTGCTGCACAAGCGTTTCCCCAACACCCCCTCCCCACGAAACGGGGCAGGACTCCGGAGGGACCCACACGCTGGGCAGGAGATGGAGGCACCTTCTACTCACCTTTTACTCACCAACTCCGGCCAGACACGTTGGATTGGTGACCAAACCACATTGGTGACCCTGGGCCCAAAGCCTGGCCCCATCCCCAGCCCCAGGAGAGCTGGGGGGCACCAGCAGGCTGGAGCACAGCGATTCTCATGGCCCCGGCCCTACCCACAGCCCCCAGGGTGGTTTCAGAGGTGGTGGCTGGGCTGTGCCACAGACAGAGCACAGGGCACAGGGCACAGAGCACAGGGCACAGAGCACAGAGCACAGAACCATCTGTGCCCACCATCTGAGGACTTTGGAAAGGGCTGGGTGGGGCCAGTGCTGTGCCAGACACCCCAAAGCACTGGGGCAAGGCTCATCAGGTGTTTCTATGGCACCTAGGGCCAGGTGAGATGTCCCTCTGGGCTTATTGTCAGGGAATTAACAAACTGACCTTTTTTTTTTTTTTTTTTCCCAAGCTCCTCTCCACAAGTCCCAGGAAACAGAGTTAAATCCAGGCTGTGTTCACAGTGTGATGAACATGCTCAGGATGGCATCATTTGGAGGGGTCAGTCTCTCACACAGCTTCAGCCCCAGGGGCTTCCCCCACACAGCAACAGTTTGCTGTCATAAAAGGATCAAATAATGCTTTTCTCACTGTTGAATGCTCTACCCATCAACCCATACCCCGAGAACTGACACACAGGTGGGCACAGGAGGAGCCCAGGGATTTTTCTGTTAACGAGGCTGGGGCACGAGGGCCACTGTTAATGATGGTGGCTGACAGACATTCCCACATTGCCCATTCCCAGCCCCTTTTCCTCGTAACCAAGGGTCCAAAAGGGGTTTCTCTGAGCGTCACTGCTTTGAATGTTTTATTAGAGAGTGGAGCCAGTACAGGATATTGAGCACTTCAGCAGCAGAGCAATACAGGCCATGGTTGGCAGGGTTTAATATGGATCTGATTGTATTTCCAATTACGAGAAATGCACTGAAGCCAGTCCTGAGGCAGACCAGAGAGCTCCAAGCACCACAAATCTGGGCCATTTAGCTGCTATGAATTCTTTCTCTCTTCCCTCATGATTTATCTCGGGAGCATTTGAGTCCTTGTAAAAATGCATTGCCAATTAAAATGTGAGAGTGGCTCTGAAGGATTAGACAAATTGAGAAGTACCTTTTGCAGCAGGGTGGGATTTGAGCATCCCCTTTTTTTGTTTGTATCAAGCAAAATCCTGCATGACCCAGTGGGAATGAAAACTCCTGCTGAAAAGCTACTCCAAAGTCCATGGCATCCTTCCTTTAATGAAAGTCAAGTTTGGAATGGGGCAGAGCTCCATCTTAATGCTGTGCTGTGTGAGATGCAGCATCCCAAAGCAAGCAAACCCAGTTTTGGAGGGGCTGAGCCCAAACAGGCTGGATTGCAAATCATTGGTATTGGATGCCAGAGTCATTGGGCAGCATCCCTGGGGCTGCAGAAACAGGAACCTGCTGTATCCTAGAATCACTGTCTTGGGAAAGACCTTAAAGATCATCTGATTCCAACCCCCCTGCCATGGGGAAATTCTCAGAATTGGAAATACAATCATGGGACACCTCTCATCTGAGCAGGTTGCTCTCGTCCCCTGTCCCAGCTCAGGCAGCAGCACTGCCCTGCCTGTTACCTCCACCAGGCACAGCCACCAAGACAGGAGCTGCAAATCCCTCCTGTGTGCACAGGCTTCTCTCTGATCCCCCTGAAGCCTCTGCAAGCTTCAGGCTGTGGCTCCCAGCGGCTTCAAACAAGCGCATTAATCTGTGACAGCCTCCCCTGGCAGAGCGCGGGGAGGGAGCACAGCAGGGGCGGCCCAGACAGACTTTTATGGCCACAAAGGCCACGTCGCACCTGCTGACGGTTGTGAATAGACTTGCAGACAGCACCAGGTGTGCCATTGCAACAGATTGCACAACTGGGTGTGCCTTTCATCTATGTATAGAGCCCCGGCCAGGGGATGGAGCGTGCTCGGCAATTGTCCTAATTTAGCAAAAATGCTATTTGTCCAGCGGGTCGGCAGGTGTATTTCAGGAGCAATTATCTCGCTTGTCCTTGGCCTGGCCCCGGGCCGGGCCCTGCGGGGAGCCGGGAGCGCCGCTGTTCTGGCCGGGGCAGCGATGGAGATCAGGGAGAGGGAGAGGGAGCGGGCGGCGGAGCATCCCCGCATTCCCCGGGGAATCCCGCACCCCACGGGCCGATTCAGCTCGCTTGTTTACACTGACAGCCTTTTAGAGAAGGCGTTTTAATCACATCTCTGCTCGTGAGAGCCGGGAGCAGCTCAGGGCTTGCAGCCACTTCACAAATAGGGTCACAAAAAGTAGTACCAGACCACATCCATGGACTTGCAAGGTGCTTGTGCCTTCTCTCCTGCCATCCAATAGTGAGCCTGACAGCGACACTGCATTGAAGATTTTATCATTCCAGGCTTCATTAGAAGTCTGAGTCATAACTTCGGGATCATTAGATTATTTCTGCATCTCAAAGTCACATCGTAAAGACAGCCGAGATTCTAAGACTTGTGTTATAAATGTGGACCACTCAATTGTACTCAATAAAAGATGCTGATCTCATGGGGATGGTGGGATGAGATCAGCTCAGAGTTCTGCAGGCTGGAGCCAGAATTCATTAGCAGCAAATGGGGACCCTGCTTTATGCTAGCTGTCCACCCTCCATGGATGTATGTGTGGTGGCACATCCACAGGATGCATCTAAAACGCAGACATGATTGTGAGATTCCATTAGAAGAACTTTCTCCCTGCCTGGCTTGGCCAATGTATATTGAATTTGCTCTAATTAGGATCTTTGAAATGAGCCCGGATGAGTTAAATGGCATCTGAATTGTTCTGGTTTTATTTTTATAAACATGATTCATCTACTGTATTGAAAAAAAACCCTAACAAGGCCAAGCCCTTTGTCTCACATTTTCAAACCTTTATAATTGCTTATAAAATCTCCCACCAAAACTGACATAGAAAAAGTAAGAGGTGGAAGCCACATTTATATTTAATATTGCAGATTCAAACTCCAGATCCCCCATTGCTTTATGCACAGCTTTCAGCACTGATGTTCCTGTGGAAAATTCCCAAACTGTGGCAGAAAATGGAAGCAATCCTGTGACTGTTTTGTGTGTTTGAGAATTGCACAATGCAGGGATGGTGAGGCAGAGCATAGGGATGGAGTCCAGCATCCCTTGGGGTGTGAAGGTTTCACAGCCACTGCAGCCCCCCAGGAGTTTGTGGGTGTGTGCCCAGTGGAGCCCTGGAGGAGCAGACTGGGAGCTGGGGACAATGCTTCTTGTCTGGCTGCCTGCATCATGGATGATGCTGAGGGAATGCCCAGCTCATGCCACTGCCCTCCATCACCATTATCCACGAGTTTCAACTGCCTAAAACACTCTGGAGCCTGTAGGTTGTGTTGGTGGGGTCACCTCAGAGCAAGCAGAGCACTGATGCCACCCTGCCATCCCTGTGGCTTCCTCCACACTGCCACGTGTCCCCCTCTTCCCACAGGGTGACCTCCAGCTCTCACCCCACCCTGGGAAGGAGCAGGACCTCGGGCCAGGTTTTGGCAACCCTGGCACCGCCCCAGGGAGGTTTGGTACATTGAGGAACAGTCACAGCGCCTTGGAGGGGCAAAATATTTTATTTTTCCCAATTTCTGCATTATACAGAAAAAAGATTTTTGACATGTATGCACACAAGCTGCTGTGTGACCAGTAATTTTGGTGGAATCAAACAGAAACTTTGGTTACTACAGCCTGGAATAAAAGGCATTATTTATTCTATGGACTGTAGTAGTTCATAAAGGCCTCAGCAGCAATCAGGACACACTGTACTAGACAGAGCAGTGGAGACCCCACCTTGAAACACCTTCCAATGTAAATACATCAGACAGACAGAATTTATTTGCTTCTCACAATAACTCAGCCCTTGACTCACCATGGACCAGGCCCAGCTCAACACAGCTGTGTCTGAACTTCCACAAATAGCCTGACTCCACAGGCAGAGGCTGCTCCTTCTTCAGTGGCTTTCCAAGGACCTTTCCTCCCTATCAGGAGGAGAACCAGCAAGCAGCAATTCTAAATGCCCCTTTAAAAAAAAACTTTTTTATTTATACACCCATTGAGATAAGCAGTGATTTAAAATCAGCCACTGGACACCATCAGACACCTCTGCTGCATTTACTTCAGCTGTTAAGTTTGAGTTTGCATATTTGCAGCTCTCTTCTAACCACACTTAGCACCTCAGTACTCCTGGAGGCATTTATAATCTGGGCATGTTGATTAAGTCAGTGAATAACATAACCCAGTGCATAATTAAATTGCCAGACTTCATTCTGTTTCATTCATGCTCTTAACAGTTTCACATGACAAACAGTCCACATCCAAACTACACTGATAGAACAAGTACTATATGTTCTAATTAGAGCACTTTACTAAATCAAATTATTAAATCAAGATGTTGATGTAAAGAGCCATTCCTCAGGATATCTGTGCAGGTTGCACAGGCTTTCATGTAAACTGCACAAATGATGATAAAATCACAATAAAGCACTTCCAATCATTAGATTCCAAGAAGTGTTATCTGAGGGGTAAGTCCCATTCCTCCCATTTGGTGGTAAGGAAATTGAGACCACAGCAACCTCAGAGCAATCCCTTGTGTTAATCACCTCATCGTCAAATTAAAAGAATTCGGCCTCTCTGGTCCCGCTCTAGGGGACAAAGTTTGATCTGATTTATCAACTATTGCCCATAAAGCAAACAAAGCAGCATGTGTTCCAGCAGAAGCCCCCATCCTTCACCCCTCCATCCCCATCAGTGCTGCCCAGTATTGTGATGGGAACAAACAAGAGCACATCACCCTACAGCTGCTGCACTGTCAAGGTGACATGTTAGCAGGACTTACAGACCTGTTTGTTTATGAAATAAAAGTTTGCATGTTCAGAAATGCAAAGGCCTCCTCTGCACAGGAGCCACACACACAGAGAAAGCTGCTCCCTGAAAGCTGTGCTGAACTCAGGAACCTTGTTAAGGTATCTGTGACTATTAAGGTTTGCTGCTTTCTTCAAAAAAATATCAAAACTGACAATGAATACACACTGCCAGTATGTAGACATGGTGAGAGGCTCCTGGGGCAGCTGTGCTGAGGGCTTGGGCAGCTCCTCAAAACAGTGCTGTGAGAAAGGAGATCTGGACACGTTCAATTAACTGCACAAAAATCAACATTTGATTTTTTAACTGCACAAAAATCAACATTTGCCTCTCCAAGGCAAATCCTGGCCCCAGCGATTCCAGTTAGTGTTTTGCTAATAATGGAAATTGTGTGAAGATTTTAATTCCGATTATACTTCTAAGTTTATTTAAAGAAAACTTTGTGAGAAGTTGAGTTGATTGAGGCAGGCAGATTTTGCAGCTTTCTGCAGGCACAGCACCAGCAGAAAAGCTTTCCTTAAAATCATGGTGCTTTACTTTTTGGGTAGTTTAGGTGCTATGTTGTTGTGGAACCACATGAAGCTGAAGATGACACCCATTGTCTTCGGGAAAGTCTCATCATAAGCAAACTTCATGGATTCTGCTAAAGGTATTTCCACAACTTCTATCAGCTCTCCTTCTTCAGGCTGGCCACCTCCTCCACTGGCTCTCATCTGGTCGTTTACTTCTGCATAAAACAAAGTCTGCCTAGAACCTGTCACACCAACTCCAGACCTGCAAAAAAACAGAGAGGAAACTCTGGTTTAGACAGAGAGAAGGCATCAAGGAGCTGGGAATGGAACCCTGGGCCCTTCATGTGTGAGACAGAATTATTGAGACAGAAATTGATTGCAACTTTCAACCAGAAATATCAACAGTTTTGAATATAGTTCCATATAAAATAGATCCATCTTCAAATGTATTCCTTGGAAATATGTGATTTTGGGATAAAATAAAAAAAGAAAAAAAATTTTGCATTGGTGAACTGTTGTCCTAGACACACTGAAGTCAACAGAAGTTCTTCCAGCTGACCTCAGGGAGAGCAAACTGCAGAATGACTCACAGAGATGCACAAACAAAAGGAGGAAGCTCCCCAGTCTATCTGTGTGCTGTCGTGCTACATTTGTTTGCTTGTTTTTACACAAATATTTAGATTTTTTACTCTTAAGAGGATTATGTCCATTCACAGCTGGAGTCCTCCACTCATGGACTGGATAGGTAAAGAAGGGAAAGGCAGTCTGAGACTCCCTTTCTATCCTTCCTGAACTTTAGCCCTGACCCAAATGGACCACTGTAAGCACGCACATGTCCAAAGTAATTCAGTCTCCCTGCTAAATTTGCTTCAGTGGATTTAGTTGAGGATATTTTAGATTATGTAGTCTTTCTTCAGCTAGACTGCTTGCTGTGTATTATACTTCTTATTTGTTAATCCTCTATTTCCTTAGGACTATTTAATTTAGGTATTATTAAATAAGGGATAAGTAGATAATCCACTCATTTAGTCCTTCCAAGAAAATATTCACATTGTAATTGCAATTTCTTCATTTCACATGATTACAAGCGACTTTTCACATTAAATCTGGATCCAAAGTTCACTGAAACTATGAATGAGGCATTAGGGCAAGATGAAAAATTAGCTTTCATATTATTACACATACAGAGGATTCTCAGATTTGTAGCAGTGTTATGATCTTAAGAGTGTATATCCAGATTTACCCAACCATTAGTCAACTAAATCTTTCAGTTAATCCAGCACACATCACACCCCAAAGCAGGAATTAATCATTTGTCTCTCGGTTTTCTAAGAACACTGGCAATTATTTTGTTTGAGGAATTAACAGTGACTAGAGAAGTTGGTTTCTAATAGTGATTATTGAAATTGGTTTCTTACATCAATATACACTTTTAAAAAATATTGAATAGGGAGTGAATCAGTGAATTCTTTTCCTAAAATTACTTCTGATGCATTCTGTGAATTTGGACAAGATGTGTCACCCCTCCAGGATCATTCCTGTACATCTGTGTAAAGAAACTTGACCATCTTTGGCATTTTCAGGAACTCTAAAGGTTGATATTGGACCTCTTTCATTCTGTGCTCATCACTTTATTCCAGGGCTAGAACTGGGGTTTTTGATCCATGTTTTAACCAACTTTGCAATACAAAGAACGCAGGTAGCTGGTTGTCACAGGTTCCATGAAAAACACAGGACTGTGTATAATATATTTAATGTCCTGTTTTGTAGTTTTTGGTTTTTTTTTTTTTTTTTTTTTTTTTATTATGAGTGTCAAGTCTGACACCTTCCTCTGGGGTGCTCCACCTGGAGACCAAAAATTATCCTAACTTGAGTACTTCCATGTACACTTGATATTATATAAAGGTTGTATGAAAAACCAGCAAATTTATATAAGAAGTATTTCTACAAGAACGTTCTGGCTTGATTATTTACAGCATAATCTCCTTCTATAGCACCTGTGACCATTTCCTTATGAAATAGCTGCAGCTGTGAAATCAGTTCACTTTCCACACATCTTTTCTCTAAAGTAAAGGAAAACCAATTTCCAAGGTGCTACACTGTAAGACTCAGCCCTTGCTACCACAGTTCAAATAGCAGGACTGATTTCCATATGGTGTAATTTCTTTGTACTTATTCACATGATACTCCCTTGTTATGAAATAAATATATCAAGAGTAGCTACTACACTTAATATACTTGAAAAGATGAAAGTCCTGGACATAAAGGTCTTTCCTTTGTTATGATGCCCAAAGTTATGGTATTTCTTCACATCTATTGACATATAATTAACCACAGAAATGAACCAGAATTTCTAACAATACAAATTCAAAGGAGGACATACCCACATGGTCATTCTCTCTTACTTGATTATCTAACTTTCTCTTCTCTGGTGCAACTTTGCCACAAGATATCAGCTACAAAGTAATAAAAACTTCCAAGTGAGCTATAAATAAAATGAAAGAATGCTGGTATCAGTACTCATTACATTCTATTCTACTCTTTCCTCCCCCAAACCAGCAAATCTAACATTTCTAAGCCTACCTAGAACTCCTTCACTATTGAGATGGTGACTTTGCAGATTGTTGCAGGATGTTATTTATAAATATATTCACTGCTTTAACTTGTTGTCTAGTCTCCCTCAAGAGAGTTGACAGTTCCTCTCAATTTGATGATAATAAACTGTGAGGAGCTGTTGAGTCCTTCAAGGGCAGAGAGACCTCAATGAATTAAGAGAGGAGCAATCACCACCCATATGGAGTTTAATAAGGACATGTGCTGGATTCTCTCTCAACATCCTCACAAGGTGCAGCAGAGGGACAGACAGCCATCTCCTCACTCCTGTGGCAGCAACAGGACCCGAGGAAACAGCACAAGGCTGAGTCAGGAGAGGCTTAGGTTGGATATTAGAGAAAGGTTCTGCACCCAGAGGATGTTTGGGCACTGGAACACCTCCCCCAGGGCAGTGGTCACAGCACCAAGGCTGACAGAGCTCAAGAAGCTTTGGACAAGGCTCTGAGGCACAGGGTGTGACCCTTGGAGTGTCCTGTGCAGGGCCAGGAGCTGCACCCAATGATCCTCGTGGGTCCCTTCCAACTCAGAAAATTCCATTAGTCTCTGATTCTAAAAGACCATTTCAATGGTTTGAGAAAGAACATGAAAGATCTAGAAATATACTTTTTTTCTTAAAAGAGGCAAATACCTTTTCTCACTTGCTCTTTCATTCTCTAAATGCTCTTGTTTACATTGCCAGTTGATCATTTTTGCATCGATCCACATGGACTGCCCTTTATTAAATTAAATATTCTCCAGTATTGCTTACTGATGTCTTTCAGGACATTTCCAGACTGCTAATCTATCCTGCTTGTCCTTAGAAAATTGCACAAAAATCAATTCTATTCACATTTTGTCTGTCTTAGTACCTTTGGCTTTTATAGAAATCAAAAGTTAGGTTTGTTGCTTTGAAGCTTTTCAGGTAGAAGTAATAAAGTGATTTTCCATATAACCTTGCAAAACATTGTACATTTCAGTGATGTTGGGCACTGGAAGAGAGCAGAGGGAGAAAGTGAGTCTGACTGGTGAATAGGCTACAGGAATATTATGTTTGCAGTGTGCTTTCAGGTTTATCTCACCAGGAATTTTCTCTGCTTTTGCACAATGACCTGTACTTTCTGAATATGCTGCTTAAGGAATTTTGATGTGCCTTTAATCCTGTCTATATTCCTCTTTCTGCTACAATCTTCTTCTATCCCTCATCTGCGACATACACTTTTCCTTACCCCAGTATTTCCCACTACAAATAAAAAACTTTTGCCATGGTCTGAAATGAGTCACCTATTAACAGATTACAGCTATATTCATTAGCTTTGCATCTGTGGAAATCACAGGGGTCAGCACACCCGGACTGCAAGTGATGAGTTTCAGCCTGGGAAAGCCACCTTGCTGATAAAGGTGCCTTCCTGCGACAGGAGAGCCTTGGCTGGGGGAGGGTGGGCAGGTCTGAACTCAGGTCTGAGCCCAGCACCAGCCCATGGTGAGACTTCAGGCTTCAGTGTCAGTCCAGGGTTTAGCACCAAACCCAGCAGGTCATGGCTCACACTGACCCAGACCTACTAAGCCTGGCTTGACCTCAGCTGGCTGCTCCAGCTGCATTCTGATGTGTCTGCACAGGGCTTGGCTTCTGTGCCGCTGTGGGACAAAGGCAAATGATCTACACAAAACACAGCTCAGTTTTCCTTGCCTCTTCATCCTGAGGACTGGTTTCCTCTGAGGAGCTGATGGTCATTCCAATTAACAGCTCACAAATATCCTTGTCAAGTCATTAGGGCTTAAGCTCACAAGTCCTGTAATTTCAACAGAGAGATTTTAAACCCCAAAACTCTATTAGCACCGAACTTTCTGCATTGCTTCAGACAGTTAGAAACCTCCATTACCTTTGACAACAGCAAGTCTAGGAATGTAAGCATGTCAAAGTAAGGATACCAAAGTCGTATGGTTTTTATCACAATAGTAACTTATATATAAGTTTAACACATCAAAACAAGATTGTGTGCTGCCTTCCCATATTTCATTTTGAATAGAACACTCAAACAGTGAGATTAATTCATGCTATGGCTTTTAAAGCCCTGGGCAGCACACTTTTAGGCAATGCCACACCAGAGGAGGAGCTTCTGCAGAATGACTGTGAAGCACTTCTCTCCTGCCCAGGATGGGATGGGCTGGCAGCACCAGGCTGTAATTACAGTATTTCCATCTACTTCCTCCTCAGACCTGGGGAAACACAGGAGGCAGACCGTCACTCCAATCTGTTTTTGAAACACAGCAATATCAGCTACCACAAAGCCTTTGTTTAACTGCTCCCTTTTATCAAATGCACAAGGAAATACACAGTGCTCGAAATCGAGCTCACAAAATGGGACTTTTCACTTGTCCTAAGTTCATGAGCATAAAGATACAGTACATATATTTTTTATCAGAAGAGGGAAACAGTATCTTATGGCTTAAAAAAAAAGGTTTAGAAGTGTCTGAAGCCACAAGTGAGACTGAGTTTGCCAACAGTCAGTGAGTTTTTTCTTCACAATGAGTGTGCTCATGTGTGCATGTCCACACACAAACACGTTGCTAATCAGGGCCAAAATTCAAAGCTTTGGTTCAGATTAGCTTTGCCTTTTTCTCATGTCTGGGTGCTCGCCTATGCCAGCCACTTGTCTCATTCATAAGTATCAAGTTTGTAAATATTGTATTTTGAATTTGAAGAAACAAACATGTATGAGAATATAAACAGTATTTTCTAATCTCCTCCTCTGCTACAAGATGGGGAACAAATTAATTTATCCTTGTGAAGACTTATGACTTTAGTTCAGATTTCTGACAGACAGCAATTAAAAGCTAAATTTCTTGTAATGTGTTAATATTAAACAAATGTAAAATCTATACACAATCAAAATTCTTATCAACACAGAAATATATCCTTTTTTTGGTTTTAATCTTACACAGTGAATGTCCAAATTCCTGAAAGCAATGTATCCTTTTCTAAGACACAAGCCATCTGGATGCAAAATTTGGGTATAGAGTGAATACATAATTCATGTTTACAAATAAATGTGACACAAATCTCTGTTATTTATGCTTAAATCAAGATCTACTTCGGCATGCAACATGTAAACTCATGATCAGTGACATGCAGCTCCCATTGTCACTTCTCAGGACCTTTGTACAGTTCTGACATTATAAGCGGCAGGTGCAGGAAAAAAGCACAGAGGTAATTAACATAAAATTATATTACATTATGCCATCACCCAACAGGTGTACTAGCAGGTGATCTTTCTAATTATAATGCACTCTAAGATTTTCAAGGCTATTATTCTTTCTACATAAAAACCTGTGAATACAAACCATTTTTACCTCATTGCACAGAGGCTAAAAGCCATGGCACAGTAATTGGAACATCCAATATTAATTCTCTGAATGCTCTTCTTGTACACTTTGGGAAAAGAAATCAAATGTAGGAAGATTAAAGTAAGTACCTATTTTAATATAGTCAGTCCTTTAAACTAATCCATCTGATTTCTTTGCAGTGGGGCTGAGAACCTACAGCTCCTATTGTACCCAGGTCAGAGCCAAGAGTTTTTCACAGCCTCTGGGAGAAAATAAAGATGTAATGAAGGGAAAAGGAAGTTTAACTAGCAGCTCTGGTTCAACTCTACCCTGATGTTCTGAGGTGTTACTGAAGTCCAATTAATTTTATAAATATTCTTCAGGACAACCATCATTTTCAAGAACTAAAAGAAAATACTTTGCAATAGCAACAATAACATCAATGACAACAACAACAAATTATTTCACTGTCCCTGTTAGCTGCTGCCATAATTTAAACTAACCTTTCTGCAATACCAAAATGAAGTTACTGGATGCCAAGCACAAAAGTAGAAATTTGTGATGATACTAAACTCACCATACAGGCTGCAAACAATGCAGATTCTTTTCAGAATGATCCCTCCTCTGTCTACACAGCAACATGAACCATCTGCATTTCAATTCACCTCCTGTCTGACAATTTTCTATAATAGGAGTAGATATTTCTGATTTCCAAAGTGTGATTTCTCTGCTCCTCCAGTCAGTTCCTCTAAATATGTTTGTGTTTCTTGTTATCTGCCCCCAGCCCGGCCTCCCTCCCTCACCCACACCATACTGTCCTCCTGCTGCTGGAACAATTTGTTCCAAAGATTCTTACTGAAATGGCCTAAATTCCCCAACTCCTGGCTTCTCTCCTGATTCCTCATTGACTCCACAGCTCCTCTGTGGATCATTCAAGGTAATTAAGTCTGAGATCTGCTTAATTCACTGTCTGACTTCTATGTGATGAGTATTAAATCACTGGAGCTTTGACAGAGCTTAATCAGGGGTCCAGTGGGTTACCTGCATGTGTATGAATTACCTGTGGCAGTACTGGGCTCACACTTTCCAGCTTAGCTGAGAAGCACAAAAAAAAATCCCCCAAAACTGCTACAGGCCCTGATAATAAATGAGGAAAATCCCTGCTATCTTCAGTGGAGATAACCTATAAAGTTATAGAACAATGTTGAACACAGTCTAAGTACTTTCCTCACTTCCTTACAGAGAAATCTCTTCTACCACAATGAATGTACTTTCCCCAGGTCCATTAGTTCTCAGCCTATGATTTTTCTCTGCATTGTTCCTTCATCTCTTCTTCTTCTTTTGCCACTCAAGGTTTTCATTTTCATTTCTTCCCCATAGTCTAAGTTCTCCCTATGGATTGTCCATGCTCCATCTTTCTTAATCCATTAGGCACAGAAATGTATTGACTCCCCTAGCCAAAACCATTTCTCCCTTTACATTTGATGTGTCTTTGGCTTTCATGCCCTTCTGTCAGGTCTAACTCGAATCCTGCTTTTATTCCAGGCAGACAATTTCCTCTGATGATCATGATTCCAGCAAGGGGTGTCATTAGGAATACAACTCCCTGCTTTCAGATCAAAGGCTATGATGACACAGAATATGGACAGGAGGTTAATGACAATGCAGAATCATGGAATATTCTGAGTTGGAAGGGACCCACAAGGATCATCAGGTTCAAATCCGAGGTTTGAGATAGGGGAGGCATTGTGGAAGAAAAATTACATCAATAATGTAATGCCTCCGCAAAAAAGGCAAACCACAAACTCCAGTGTATAAAGAATGATCTGTGAGATAATGCTTCCACTCTCTCCAGGAAAGCCCCCACTAAAGAACTGTGCTTCACTTTGGGCACTAGATTTTTAAGAAATGTGCAGACCAGATGGAGAGAAGGCAGAGGACAGCAGAAGGGATGATCAGCTATCTAGAAAATATGATCTGAAGAGAAAGACTAAATCAATTAAAATAGTTTTGCACAGGCAAAAATAAAATAAAGGGAAACATGCTTTAACAAGGAAGTGGAAGGGGCAGAAGTGCTTCATGTCCACTGGGGACAGAGGAGTAAATGTCAGTATTGAAGTAAAGAAAGGGAAATTTAAGCAAGACATGAAGGGAAAGTTGCTTGTGGTACAGACAGACAGCACACTTCAGACAGAATGCCAGAACCCTCCAAGAGAGGCCACAGAATGGTCACATTTGAAAAAAAGCACAGATGCACATTTGCCACAACTGGTGCCAGTCCAGCTGAGGCTGATCTTTGGAAGAGGAGCCATCTAGAGAGAGCCCCCCAAAACTCTGACCTGGGGCACTGGATCAATAAATAATGCAGAGCAGCTATTACACAGATTGCTGGGATGGGAGATAAGGGTACAAGTGCAGGATGCATTGCAATTATAATGGCATGCATATGCATTAATGCAATGCTTTATGCCTGTGCTTTGTATTGACAGTCACAGCATGAAACAGCAGCAAAATCCACTTGGAAAAACCTGCTGCACTTAGAAAAAGCCCAGGAATTCTTATATGTTGTGCAGTGATTACAGAAAAAATGTCCTTAGGAGACCATAAATGAACTGATTACTTCCTTTCTTTGCATCAAATCCTCAAGGATCAGAAAGATGCCAATCCTTGGCTGGAGGAAAACAGGACACTCCCAACAAGAATATTTGGAATAAAATCCTAAAACTAGAGCATGGGAAATCATACAAAAAACCCTGTGAAATATCATCTTTGAGGCTTCAAACTTTCATATTAATTTAAAAATGTAAAAATTATACAGGCCCTTCTGACTTCAGCATGGATCTCCATGGGCAGAAAGCTGTGTCCACATGGACAATGGAGGATTATGAGCTGTTTGCAAAGGTCTCAACAAAGAAAACCCCAATTGTGTACACTCTTCACAAATCAGTGCAATTAAGAAAAAAAAAGGCAAGCAACTGAATGAACAACCACCTGTAACATATAAAGACATTTATCAACACCAAAACACAGAGAATTTTAAACAGATATAAATCATTAATATTGAGTCAAACTTCTGCACTAAATCTCCAACCTTCTACAGGAATTGTATTCTGCTTTTCCTCCTTTGCATTTGTATGCACATACATACATACACATACATATGTATATATCTGCATGCAGCAGCCTGTCAGTGTCACCCAACCTATGAAATTCTATAGACAGCTTTTGCTCATAAATCTGGAAGACACTTTTTCTTTCAGTAGAACAAACCCTTAATCTGGTTTCAATGAGTTGTAAAAGACAGCTCCTGTGATTCACCCCCTCCCCTCAACAGAAGCACTGCTTGTTAATCCAGCAGGAAATAACATTTGCCAGGATTGACAGCTGTGGATTTGTATTCAATTCCCAAATTAAAAACCAATGACAGTGCCTAGTTCAATGGAGTTGTCAAGTAAAATAAAGAAAGTAAAAAACCTGCTGCTTTCTCTGTAAAATACAAACATACATACATTTTGGATAACAATACTAAAAGCTGGGAATGAGATATAATAGGATTAAAGCTGTGTGCAAAGTTTCTCTTTGTTTTTTTTTCACCAACAACTCATGTTTTGTTTTTTCCACTTACATATTAATTTTTCCCTTTATTCCTAACACGTTTTAAAACATGTTAAAATCTATTTCAATAACTATTTGTAACCCTGCAAAAATAAAATGTAATAATTTTGACAGTCAGATCTGCAAAATCTTCATATACAACAATAATTATTGTCCAATTCAAGGAAGCTTTAATCACAGACCAAATATTATGAAGAGATCTAATGCCACAGGTTCTCATGCTTCTGAAAAATCATGGTAAAGGTTAATCAGAGAGCATCGTGGGCAGTTTCTATTGTTAATCTGAATAATAAGAATCAGAGATGGAAAACACCCAGTATAGTAAAGATAGGCTGTTTTCTAGTGCTGTAACAAACTCTGAAGAGCCCAATGCAACTTCTTCCTCTTGTAACAGTCTTTGGAATAAGTCATAATAGTATGATTCTTTCTGGGAATTCAATCCCATAATTATCATACTGATTATATATTTCTAATTCCTTACATTTCTGCAAATACTCCTCTCACTTGCAAAAAAATTACACCTTTCCTGTACCTTCAGATGTCCACGTTCCTCCAACACTGCTTAAACAAGGCAAGAGGGAACACTCAGGCCACTTCAGCAGTCTGTGAAACAATGAAATGCTAAGAGTTGTAACTTGCTGCGCTTTACCTGTAAGAAGTGATCCTCCTGAGGTCTGCAGTGGAAACACGATAGCCACACTCTTCCAAAACTTCCTCACATGCAATTTCTTCTAAAGAAAGGCCTGGCTTGTCCACAATGCCAGCACAGAGTTCATAGGTCACTCCAACCACAGCAGGTAAGGGATTTTCCAGGGAAGGGAAGCTCTCCTTGTCCCGATTCTCAAACACTTGAGGCTGATGCCTTTCTATTTCACACATGTAAACAGCTTAAAAAATCCCAAAAGAGAAAAGAAAAAGAAACAAGGGGCAGTGAGTTAGTCTCTTTATATTAAATATAAAAAAAGGTTGCAGACAAATTTTGCCTGGAAATTAACAACCATGAGAGTACTTGAGAGTAACAAGGAATTCAGCTGTGTTATCTGTTAAAATAATGACACACAAAACTGGAATTTCAAAGAACAAAGGTTCGCTTGCCATGTCCGTAAAATTATTCTTTAAACTCTTACTTTTATTTACATGAACTGAAATGAATTCATGGACACCTTAAAATAAATAAAAATTGAAAAAGGAAGCTAGTTCATCCAAGAAATTGAAGTGCCAGAAGCACCACACAGCTCCCATTTGTTGGGCAATGCAGATATTGCGATTTAATTTAAACTATGCAGTTATCTTGCAGGAAAGTTGGGTTGCACATAAAGTACCATGTGCACAATGATGAGTCTTTCAGCCTGTCAACTCAGCTGTTATTTAGAAAGGGTATGAAAAGCATGTAGTTTGTTTGAAAAAAAAAATCCTCTTTTGAACATACAGTTCCTTGCAGAGATTCCTGTGTGGGGTCTGAAAAGGACTTCTTGAACTAATCTACAAACAGCTGCCACTGTAATGCACTCCTAAAGAAAGTGCAAATGTCAGATTTTAGTCCTTATTTAAGCAAAATCTCTCACTGATGTCAAAAGAAATTTTGCCTGAGTGAGAACTGCAGGACTGGATGTCAACACAGAAAGAATCCCTACTGACAGACAACTCCAGATCATTGCAACTTTAATATACAGGCATCATTCCACTTGTTTTTCCCTTGAAATTTCCTTATGTCTATCCCCTTGCTTTTCATGAAAGCTTTCCAAGAGAGTGTTATAAACCACCCTATTTTAAACTTTGAACCTATTTTTATTCCATTAAAATACTTTACATACATATTTCAGATACACATAACATGGTTTTCAAATTAGTGTCTCTTTTATTTCCCCTTCTAAATCTTGAAGAACTGATAAATAACAACTGAAGTTTAAGAGGCAACTTTTTGTCCTTCCAGGTACAGTAGCTTGGTATTTCTTAAAAAAGGTCTCTGGAGAAATGATGTTGCATAACAGTGAAGATCCACAGTGACTTTTTAAGCACTTGGTCTCTGAGGCAGAGTCCACACCCCAGCAATTTGTGCCTGGGATCTTTCTGCAGTGCTCATTTTGACACCTCAGAAGTGCAGAATAGCAAGATCTGCACTTGAAAGGGAGATGTCCAGATCAGTCCAATATCCCAAATCTAATCTTTCTCCAGAAGTTAAAACTTTCAAAGCTGCTACTCTTAGATACATCCAGGTCTTTGAGATTCAAATAGGTATGGATTAGAGTCTCCATTTCTTACTTGAGAGACGTGAGTTAAGAGCTCAGGTTTTTTTTTTTAAAGTGTAGCATGAAGCCAGAAAAAAAAAAAACTCCCTGCCAGCTTTAAGGGACAGCTCCTTGAAGGGTGTCTATTGTCATTATTCCAAAAACTTCTAAAAGCTAGGAAAATTATCATAAATGACAGCCACATCCAAGATTTCTCTGAGACAAGCCAAATCCTCTGAAAGTTTTACTTCTTTTTTAGTACTGACATACCCATATCAGATAGTTAAAAAAGGAACAACACATGCATCCCAATAAAGGCTTTGGGCAGGATAAAACAGGATACAGGTAAGAGTGTGGGGTACAGACATATGAAGCTGTGATGTGAAAGTATTAAAAGTCTTCTGTATCCCTGTCATTCCATCAGGCACCTGCCATTCTCCTTCTTCCTCAGCACAACTGGGCCCCAGGTAGATCAAAACCTACATTCCCAGAAGGACCTAATTCAGCAGTCCTCTGCAGAGCAAAGTCCTGTGATATGGCCACACTTCAAGCCCAGGAACAGTTTTTCTCTGTAGATAAGGAAGAAAAGAAGCAGTACCAGCCACTTCTGTAAGAGCTCAAATATTAGAGCATTCACCAAGGAGTCTGATTATGAATTTATTATCACCTGGCTTCAAAGGTTCAAACTCAATTGAACTCTCACAGATAAGCAAAGCCTGGAAAGCCAAGCTGCCTTCTCATGTCAGGGAACAGAGAATCACCCACAGCTCTCTTGAAGGTGCAAAACTGACTGCACAAGTGATGCACTGGATGATGAAGAACTGGATGGAAAAGCAGTGTGTGACCTACTGGCTAAGGCACATTATTCAGAGGGAAACCTGTGACCCTCCTCATCCTCACCAGAAGTTGTGATCTTACTGCAAATTCACAGAGGCTGGAAAGCAGAATCCAGAAGCCCCAGCACAGTCACCCACCCACCTGTCCCATGTCTGCTGTTCCCTTGTCTTCCAATGCCTCCTTGGCCAGGAGCTGCCTCTGCACCATGGCTGGGCTGTCTCCTCCATGGCCAGATGGACACGGCCATGAGCAGCAGCACAGTGAGGAACCAACCTGTGCCAGGGCAGCTTCTGGCTGCTCACCAGGAAGAATGACAACAGAAAGGGTTGTCAGGCCTTGGAAAAGGCTTCCCAAGGAAGTGATGGAATCCACATCTGGACTAATTACTCTGGAGCCACTCAGCTGTAAGAAAGTTTCCACTCAGTGGAAAGTCCAGTAGAATTGATGTTCTCACCTTCCTTTCTGTAATGTGGGACAAAGGATAGATGGTTCAACCAAATGGAGCAAATAAGATCACTGCTGTTATTAAAAGCAGCCTTTGCAGGTGACACATATAGGGACTTGTTTGCTGTCCCCAAACAGAAGAAAACAACAGTACAGACTAAGGAGCCAGTGGGGTTTGGCTGTCTGGGAAGGCGCTGGCTCCTCTCTAAACTTCTGACTGTGCTTGTGTTTTGTACCTCCTGAAAGGGAAGATGGCTTATGATTCAAATCTTTGATACTGTTTCTTGTAAGTCAGTGGAAAAACAAACATGACAATACATTGAAAGGTCATGATACTTACAGTTAATAAACCAGAGCACATGTTCATAGGTCCCAACCCTAGCAACGTATCATTTTATTATATTTGAAAATGTGTGGTCAATTGCCTACCAAAATAAGCATTGACCAATACCTTTGCAAATTAGTCATGGGTGAGGCACATATATAGAGATACATGCTTATCTTTCTTCTCTCTGCTCCTCCCAAATGTGTGATTTCATGACCATTCAAGATGATCTAATCCCAGAGCACACTGTTTGCCTCACTGGTTGTGTGCTTCTGCCACCCTCAAGTCAGCGTGAACTCCTTCAGCTCCCTGCTCCTCAAAACCTCCTGTCTGCAGCCATTCTGCTGTGGCTGCATAAGGGCTGCTGCTGCCAAACAGAATGGGAGGGACGAGTGCCTTTACAAGCAGCACAGCCATCAGTGGGAAAAGCTGCTCCTGCCAGCACAGCCTAGGGAAGGCGAGCACACATGGCAGCAGCACACGTGCAGGGCCGTGCCTGCAGAGCGAGCGGCAGCTGCTCCCTCCCAGCAACGAGGGATCGCCTTCCTGGTGGGACCCTGGTGGGAGCTGGCAAGGAGAAAAGCCTCAGCCTTTGTCTTGGCTTTGTGGAACAGGCACCAGAGCAGACAATAACCATGGAATGGAGATGTAATTATAAATATAGGGATGTGAGTAAGGGCAGGGCATGGTTGTGATCACTGAAGTGCTGTGGGGTATCTGACTGACCACTGTGCCTATGGCCAGGTGTCTGAGCAGCTCCAGCCTCTGGAATGGTTTCACTCCACTCTTTTGAGGCTGATTTGACACTTTCACAGAGATAATGCAATGAATGTGTTGCTGCTCTGCACATATATATATACGTGTGTATATATATATATATATGCATGCACACACTTCTCCCTGAGATTGCCTCAAAGAGAGCAAGAGCTGTGGGAGCCATTTGTTCGCTGGCAAATAAAAGACAGTGGATTAGTGATGAACAAATAACCAAACACTTTATACAAGTCAATTAGCACTTGATGAGAAGGATGCACTCTCGATGTAACACTGCTGCACAGCACTGGAGAGGCTGTAATCACTGTCAGGAAGAAAGGGCAGTGTGACACTACCCTAGAAAGTTTTCTATGAAGTCTACCATGAGCAGTCTTGAAATGGTCTCTTAGCAACAGTCAGTGAAATACCTTGTCATTTCTTTTAATTAAAATGCAGCGAATATGCATTTTGTTTTTAACTTCCAGAAAGTAAATAATGCTTTGAGTTAAAAGAACTGACACAAATAAAATATTTATTAACCTAAATTAATAATAACTGGTAAAATGAAGTTGTCCACATACTGGTGAAAAAGCATACAGTCCTGAATCTCCCTCATTTCAAATTCCCAACTATACAATGCACAATAAGACAGTACAAATAAAAATAATATTTAAGACAGAACAAAACAAAAAGGAAAATACTGTGCTTCTGTACAAGCAGGTCAAGAAGGAACTTCAAATTAAAGCAATTTCTTGCATGATCATTGTAGAGATGTTTGTAATTTCATCCAAAAAAGGACAATAGCCAGCCCAAGAGCAGAATGTAAGACTACCCTGATCATTCGTTTCATCTGTAATGGAAATTTCTCTGGTTAGAAATTCTCACTGACTGAAAAGGATGGGCTATCATACAAAGAAACAGAATATAGAACAAAGATTTTATCACCACAGATGCACCAACTTTTAACTGCTAAACCCTTAAAAGCTTGCTTCACTAGAGAGCAAAAGTAAATGTAAAAAGGAGGATTACCTGGGCGGAACTGCTTCACCACAACAAAGCACTGCCGAGAAGTATTAAAGATCAGGATTGACACACTGAGGAGGAAGATAAAAAACACCAAAAGATCAATGCTTTATGAAGGATTAATGCAGAGCTATTAAACTTCCATCTTGTGAATTTAATTTCAACTACATAAATACACGTAAGATTTATTACTAAAGCCACAACACAGCAAGGTTCTTGTCCAAAATCCATATAGAGGGATAGATCATGTTCCCAAAGCCCATGACAATTTTGTTTAAAATTAAGTCCCTTTTGTCTCCTGGTATGCAAATAAAGCACCAATCAATTCCTTTTTCCCAACAGGAACACTACCACCACCCCTCTTCCAGTCTAGGAACACTGGTACTAGACAGCAAAAAATCCTTACAAATAAAAACATTTTTTCCCTTTATATCAATCTCAAATTAGGATAGTCAAAACCTCAGGCACAATCTAGTCTCATTCAGAGACAGTGACTCCTGTAAAAGCACAGAGCATCTCCTATCTGCAGCTACTTGCTGAGCTCAGGTTTCCAAACAGACACCATCCAAGTCCAATTTTGTACAAATTTAATCCAGTAGCTTCACCTGCTACACTCAGTGGTTCTTTGGTTGCTTGCAGAACATGCCATGGGGACACCTGATGGGCTGAGCATTTGGACATGTCTGGATGTTCTGATATAATACTGATGTTCTCTGCTTGCCTAACACACTCCCAGGTTTTACTAGTTTAAGAAAATGCAGACAAAAGTTTTTCTTCTTAGTTGGTAGCCCACTGCCACCTGAAAAAACAAGTGTATATTTTGCTCATTACCATGGCAGCATTCTCTCATTTGTTCTGCCTCACTGTATGCAATAGAGATGTTAATTCATTATTCCATGAATTCTACAATGGATTAGACTCACAATGGCATATTTGCAGGGCTGAGTCAAGCTTTCAACTTTCCTTGTAAAAGAGCTGTATATTTATTTTCACTATTTGATTTAATAATGAGTTCTCAAGCTGCCAAAGAAAATGCTATCTGATGATTATTAAAAACAATGTTAATGTTTATTATAATAATATATAAAAACCAAAACAGAAGGGAAAAGTCCAGATGTTAATATTTATATTCATGCTTGCTATTCTCAAAGACCTGTACTGCATATTGATGGCTTCCTGCCCTGGGAGATGCCATTTGCAGGCAATTTTAAAGCAAAGGTTTTAGCCTTCAGAGAGGCTGGAGGAGAACATTCACTCTGTTTCCTGGCACTAAGGTTCTATCTGGAATATCTGGGAGTTTGTGCTGGAAGAAATGAAGTTAAACCACAGACCATAATATCTTTAAGGTTACTTAAACATTATTCTTTTATTCTTTGATTTTTTTTTTTTCTTTTTCATGACTGATCCTCTCCCCAAAGCATTACTGTCTGAGGGCAACACTGCTCTAAATAAAAGAGGAAAAAGAATTACTGCCACCAAATCTTTGTTGTTTTGTCCACAGGCACTGCCTGAAAGTGGAGAGAGCAGCAGCCTAAAGCTGCTGATGGAGAGTGGAAGCTTCCTGAAGCAGATGGTTGCCCTTTACCTTTCTTTACATCCACCACCCCAGGCCCAATCTTTCCTTTGGCTTGCCTTCTTCAGCACGTCTCATTAAATAACTCATACCAACTCATTAAAAATGGCTCAGCTATTAGACATTATTTTTTCCTAGGAGTCAATCACTTGAGATTTTTATGGAACAGATGGGAAAATTAAAAACAATCTGTCAGAATTAAGGAACAAGATCAAATTAGCTGGAAAGGAGTAGCAGCAAGTTATTACAATTGTCTGCTTCTCACACCATCTTGAGATGAGAGGGTACAGAAATGGCACAAATCTGTAGAACTTTCTATTTAATTACTTCTAATTTTCTGAGAGACTGACAAACAATTTTGAACAGAAATTTACATCTTTTAACAAACCACAACATACAAGCTCTAATATTTTCTGTCGGAGTTGGAGACTCATGGAAGAGAAAGTACAGAATTACACCTTCTTAGAAGGGGGGTAACACTGGGAATGCCATTTGCTGTTTCATTGTTCACAAGAAACAACATAATATGAAATATTTCCACAGGTCACCATGTCTGTAACTTCTGAAAACCCACTGAAGGCTGCATTCAGGACAGTTATCTGAGTATTACACAAAGTTAGAGCAAGACAGTTCAGCTGAGCTGAGTGGAGGAGCCTCACTCCCTTTTTCAATGGGTTTCCTTGTAATGACTCAAAATGTGGGTTCACATTTGGGTTCACATGATTGGTCTGGCCTATAAGGAAAATATTTATCCTCTGGAGTTTTAAACCATCATACAAAGAATTCACGACAAAATCAGTTTAAGATTGCTATTTTTACAGATGATACAGGCTACCAAAAAGAACTAATACAAATGCATTAGTAGGTCCAAACACATCTTTCAGTGGTGCCATACCATGGGGCATTACAGAGGTCTTTGATGCTTCAAGGTAATTCCCTTCAAAATATTACAACCAGATCTATATTAGAGTATTATATACACAGTTTTTAAGTGAGGAGTAAACATATAAAAATTAAAACATCCACAAGGACTTTTGTGAGCATCTCCACAACTAAAAGGTACAGAAAAGAAATGAAGTAGTACATTTGGGAAAAACACATAGAAGCACTAAAAAAAAAAAAAAAAAAAAAAAAAGCCCAGCCAGATTCCCTAAAAGAAGGCAGTAATACTATACAAGAATTTAATCTAAAATGAATAACAAATGTCCTAATGTAGCAATAGGCTTCTTTTCTCAAATAAGAGTACAAGAGCACTTTTTTATTGTATTTTACAAAGGAAAACAATACCCAGATATAAAAGGATCATGATAAATCCCAAGCTTCCATCCATGCCTTAAAAGAAGCTGTAACACCTCTGCACTAAGGAAACAGCAGTCTCAGGTGTTAGAAGGTCTCAGCTCAGACCTTCTAATCTTTACACTTTTTGTGGCAGATTACTTTTACCATATTCCAGAGGTGTGGATCTTTGCTGGCTACTCCTCCAGCAGCTGACGCTGGGGGAAATCAGAGGTGTAAAGGGAGAGCTCAGGAATGCAAATACCACTGCCCAGTGAAGGAGACTCAGCTCCTCCACACCACATCTGTCACGGCTGCACTAGGGACTGCAACCAAACAGAAAAGGAACTTCTTAAGAGATGACAGGGTGTGTAAAGTGTCTTCCAGGGCTGGTGAAGACCACAGACCTACTTAACCTTCAGCTCAACCTTGTCCTCAACTTACCACTGCAGTGGCTCCCACTCACTTTATACATTAAATAAATCACTACTCTAATTACAGCAGTTCTCCCCAAAGAAAGCATGCATGTAAACAGCTTACTGTGCAATGATGTAGAATATTGTTCTTTCTATAAATATGGGAACAATTAGAGTAGCTTTAAAATATTTTAAGAAATATATGTACCTAAAATGTCACATACAAAGAGCATTTAACCTGTACTTGAGCTGTTGTTGTACTGAAGTTTGCAGTTGAAGTGTGTCTGTCTTGGCACACAATGTTTTCTGAAAGGGATTCCAACTATTCAACCAAGGCTCTCTTGTAGCATTTAACCATTTAAACTTCAAAAAAGCCCCAAGTGAAACAGGTGTTAGGATTCATGATGGATATGTGACTTCCCTAAACTAAATCAATGTGCAGAAATCAGAAGCTAACCCAAGGGCCCTGCAACATAAGAGTGCAGAACCTTAATTCCTCCTCCACCTTTAAGACTTTTATGAAAAGAGAAAACACCTACCTGAATACAACCTTTACAGCTGAAAACACTGCTGAGAATAGTTTAGAAAATGACTCTATTGTGTGCCACAGAAAACTACTTCCACAATTTTCCTTCCCCCAACATAGTACAGCTCTGTATTTACTGGAATCACAGTAACTGATGTATTGTGATATTCCAGCTCAGCAGACATTTAGCAGAAATACTACAACTTCCCACTCAAACCTGAGAAAGGAAGGTGGTGTTTCATGGAGCAGCACAAGACATGCAGCATTTGACCACAGCAGCTCTGAGGTAGAGGGCAGATGAAAACTGACATCCTTTTAAAATGTGCACACACACATATGGACCATGCAAAGTTAATTCTTTTAAAATCCATCCCAGAAACTGAGATCAGCAAATGAACTTTACCACAGCTTCTTAAATGTGTACTTCTAGGGCTATAGTTAATCCACATGCAACTGCTGACACTTACTAATTGCTTTTCATGAGACAAACTTTCAAAAGCCTTTAATAAACAAAGATGGATTCAGTCTTTCTTTATTCTCAGATGTGGCCTTAATGCTGACTTTACAAATGTGAATTTTTAAACTAAAAATAATTTTAGAAAATTCCCACAGTACAGCAATAGCAAAGACAAGGACAAGACCCCTGTACTTCTGTCAGTGAGCCAAGACTCTCTCAAAGCTGGAGATGACTTTTAATGACAATATCCTGCATTAATAACTAAAATACTAATACATTAGGTAAATGATGAGGCAACACAGGCAAAGAAATTGACCTTTCTTAAATCTTTGTAAGAGCAACTCGGGAGCTGCTTGTGTCAAGCATGGATATGTGTGTGACACACCCAAATTGTGATCAGAAATGAATAGTGGAGAATAAAGCACCTAAAAAAGACTGATATTAACATTGAAAGCTAAGACTTCTGAGCTATTAACCTCAGCCACTTTCAGCTACTTTTAAAGGTTAAAAAGTATCTCAAAATTAGTTTAAATCTTGTAATACTGGTACGTGCTGCCTACAAACAAGAATCTCAGCTCCATGGGGGAGACTTCAGGAACTAATGATGTACGATTTCTAAAAAACCACAACAAACCAACCAAACCAAACCACCAAAATCCCTCCAATACTACTACTACAGCGCCTGCAGTATTTCAGTTACCATTTTCAATAAAGACAAAGAAAAAAGAATGGCAGATTCCAAAAGGAGACACAAAAATGGCATGCAGGAATAAAAGCAAGTAAGTGATTTAATCAGCCCCCTTGACTCTCAACAGATATTTGGT